GGGGCCAGCAGGAGGGTGCTCAGAGGGGGGCACGACAAGGGCACTCAGAGGGGGGCACGACGAGGGCACTCAGAGGGGACCACGACGAGGATACGCAGAGGGGGGCACGACGAGGGCACGCAGAGGGGGGCACGACGAGGGCACTCAGAGGGGGCCACCACGAGGGCACTCAGAGGGAGGCAAGACGAGGGCACTCAGAGGGGGGCATGACGAGGGCACTCAGAGGGGGGCACCACGAGGGCACTCAGAGGGGGGCACGACGAGGGCACGCAGAGGGGGGCACCACGAGGGCACTCAGAGGGGGGCACCACGAGGGCACTCAGAGGGGGGCATGACAAGGGCACTCAGAGGGGGGCATGACGAGGGCACTCAGAGGGGGGCACCACGAGGGCACTCAGAGGGGGGCATGGCGAGGGCACGCAGAGGGGGGCACGACAAGGGCACGCAGAGGGGGCCACCACGAGGGCTCTCAGAGGGGGCCACCACGAGGGCACGCAGAGGGGGGCATGACGAAGGTACACATGATACCTGTCTATCAGTCACTTCACTGGCTTCCCGTTCCTGCTAGGATTCAGTACAAGATCTCTTTCCTCACCCACCAGTGCATTTATGGAAATGCTCCTCTTTACTTAAAAGAACTGGTAACAACTCAGACCACAACACGACCCCTCCGCTCTTCACAACTAAATCACCTCCAGCCCACTAGACCGAAGCTCGGCATGATGGGCGATCGGGCCTCTGTGCTGCTGCGTCTCGCCTGTGCACTGCCCTTCCTGACACTGAGGGCAGCCCAATCTACTGACAGTTTTAAAAACCTTCCTTTTAAAGCTCTCAGCGTGCCGGAGCAGCTCTCATCGTGTTTTGTCAACACCGAAATAGGTGCGACCCTCTATCTTTCTGACGTCTCAACAAGTGTTTAACTTCCCATTAAACATAAAAAAAACTGAAAATATAGTGTCTGAGGATCACAAAAAACATTTGTAATGAATCGTATTGGTCAAGTTTTTTGAGTTGTAACAATGACGCAGAGAAATTATATTCTTCGATTTGTGAAAATATGAAATCAGTGAAAATCAAACTGGAGAGTCTTTCCCTTACCAAAAAATACAAGCAATAACGAAAAAAAGTTTTCTTGTGTACAATGAAGTGCGTTCTTTGGAAAATTATAATAAAATCCTCAGCAATGCTATGGGATCATTCCACACGTGACAGCGGAAAGTTTAACCTGAGGCTTTCGGGTGAGGCTCAAGCCGGCCGGAGGCCACGTATAGCGCACAGAAACAAACAAGGCAGTAGTGATGTTATCAAGGAGACCAGGAGGGAGTGCAGTGACTTACCAACAGCTGACAGTGCACAGGGAGCATAGAGTGCACAGGGACAGCCATGTTTATAGGAATCGTTTTTGACTACAATCAGGTCCAAGAATCAGGAAAGTTTAAAAACAAGGGAGTCTGGAGAGCTCAGGAGAAAATAAGGGGCGTTGCTTCCCAAGAGTTTCATATAATATTGTGGTTTATGGAGCATTACGCTGGCATCAAAGGACTCAAATAAAACTTTATCATGCAACAGCATAATAATCCTGAGGGAATGTGCCATCAGGTCAGGAGATCAGCTCATAAACCGCCGTGCCGCCGCCTCTCCTGGGTGCATGAATCAGTTTATGTCAGTAATTAGTCACCAAAATATGGAACACAGTGGCTACAGACTTAGATGTGTTTGGTTGTTGATATTAGTTATTGTCTTGCTGACGGAGGAGAGAGTGAACAAGTGGTGAATCGCGACAGCTGGAAGAGTTGATGAGCAGCCATTGTTACAGCATTGCTGTCCACTGTCCGTTGCAGACGGAACCCAGAAATCCACTTTTGTCCGGCCCAGACTAACACATTGTATGTCACTTCTGAGTGATTCAGTTAGTTTTGCAAATGTACCATGTAGAAACGGCTTATGAGACGTATCAAATTCCTCCCCTCCAAACTAGCTCATGTTCCTTTCCAGTACTACATAGAACTGCAAAGCAAAATTAATATTTATTTAATCGGCTGAATCATTATCCCAAGTGTGGTGGGGGCTTCTACCAACACAATCTATTGCAGTTAATGTTTGACGAGGCCCATTCTGCCCTACAGTCAGCACATGAACCTGAACAGAGGTTTCAATGTTCTCAAATTAACCATGGAACATCTCTCTTGATTCTTGTACCAAATATAATACCTAAGAAAAACCTCAAAAAGCCTGAGAACCTGTTAGACCAAGATTGCCAGGACGTGCAGGAGAACCTCAGGAGGAGAAAGGCATTTCCAGGGATAAACAGAAGCCATGGTGGTTAGTCATCTGGATAAACATTACCTCCTGATTTTCAAGACGTCATTCAACGAAACCCAGGCAACATGAAGATACTCCAACAGTACTGAGACCCATGTTCATTCTTTATAAAAAGTAGATTAAGAAAACCCATAGCAGAAAGTCATACTATAAACTCTTCTATACTAATAAGCAAACCTCAAAGTATGCGAGAAAGCTTATTAAACCAGAAGTATGTGTCGTGATGGTTCTGGAAGTTTCCCTGGATCCAGTCCAAGTTGGTATTATGCAGTTGGACCCTCAAGAATTAACCGGAAATTCTTCAGTAAATGTCCAACCATCTATCATCCAACCACTTAACCTGGTCCCATATGCTGCAGTGTGGATAAAACAAAAGGCTGGGGTACATCCTGGATGGGATGCCAGCCCATCACAGGGCACAGGGCTGGGGACACCCAGGATGGGATGCCAGGCCATCACAGGGCACGGGGCTGGGGACACCCAGGATGGGATGCCAGTCCATCACAGGGCACGGGGCTGGGGTACATCCTGGTTAGGATGCCAGGCCATCACAGGGCACGGGGCTGGGGACACCCAGGATGGGATGCCAGTCCATCACAGGGCACAGGGCTGGGGTACATCCTGGGCGGGATGCCAGTCCATCACAGGGCACGGGGCTGGGGTACATCCTGGATGGGATGCCAGTCCATCACAGGGCACGGGGCTGGGGTACATCCTGGATGGGATGCCAGTCCATCACAGGGCACAGGGCTGGGGTACACCCTGGATGGGATGCCAGTCTATCACAGGGCACAGGGCTGGGGTACACCCTGGATGGGATGCCAGGCCATCACAGGACATGGGGCTGGGGACACCCAGGATGGGATGCCAGGCCATCACAGGACACGGGGCTGAGGTACATCCTGGATGGGATGCCAGGCCATCACAGGGCACGGGGCTGAGGTACATCCTGGATGGGATGCCAGGCCATCACAGGGCATGGGGCTGGGGTACACCCTGGATGGGATGCCAGTCCATCACAGGGCACACATGCAGCCATGCGCTACAGGCAACTCAGAGACATCAGTTAGTCTGAATGCATGTCCTTGTACTGAGGGAGGGAGCTGGTGTTACTGAAGGAAACCCATGCAAGATAGTCAGAACTCCCCACACGCAATTGGGAAGTGGGATTCAAACCCAAAACTTTGAAGTGTGAGGCAATAGTACTACCCAATAAGCCACACCTTTAGTAAATGTCCAGCTTTATCAATATGCTACTCAAAACATAGTTGGTTAAAAGATGACATATGCATTGTGGCTCTTGTTCATTTATCCATCCATCCATCTTCTGTAGTCCTCCTATTCAGGGTCGCAGGGGGTCTGGAGCAGGGCAGGGCAGGGAACAGCTTAGACAGGGGCACCATCCTATCGCAGGACACACTCCACTCACTCGAACCCTCATCCCAGAGGTGTAAGGCGACAGTGCTGGCCACTTCACCAACATGCCACTCCCCCTTTGTCCTTTCATTAAGTTACCCATTGCAGTAGCATGTCAGTTTCCTGTGGTTTTACTACAAAAGCATCACTACAAACACAGATTTGCTAATCAAGTGACAAATTAACTACAATATCATTCACAGGCGACACATCAACACCCTCCGGTGTGAAACACAACCGACGCTTATCCGAAACGTGGAGAGCTGTGTGGGGGGGAGGCAGCATTCATGACACGAACAACCAGCCTCATCCGTCTTCCGTAACTGCAAGTCCAGGTTCCTGGTGAGCTGGGAGCCCCATTAAGGTACAAGACAGGAAAATGTTGCTTCACATTGCTTCACAATGTTGCTTCACACCGATTTCCCCATAGCGGCGAGTGTGGGGGCTGCCGTCTGGGATACACCCTGCCCTGTGCCCCGGGCTCACATTCTCAGGTCACCCAGACCCTGGGCCAGCTTAGGACCTGCAGCGGAAATAGGTACGAACCAGACAAGACTAAAGCCAACATCTATGAGCACTCTCATTTGTGGGGAAAAATTAATGTTATATTATTAGTACTGGTTATTTCAAGTATAGCGCGTTCAATCTCTTATTGTAATAAAGTAAATGTGATATTACAAGATGAATGTATTGATAAGCAGTATAATGGAATTGACAGTTACTCTTTTCTTCTATCTTAAAATAATGTTAAAGAAATTATGAAGTTGTGTCTCAACTGTGCTTTAAATTCGACTCTTCTGCTGAATAAATTAAAACGTAAATAAACGTGACATTGTAACAAATCTGGCGCCTGGGATGTAACGTCACAGTCATGCCGAGCGGGGTGACCTCAGATCTTCTGCGTCACCAGGTATCCCCGTTTCTGTGGCTGGCAGTGGGCGTGTCCAGCGTGGTGGGGAACGAGCCTATCAAATGCCAAGCTGTCTGGAGTGGGACGGCGCTTTCATCAAACGTATTTAAGTTTGAAACGCGTCGGTGAACCTGTTCTTAAGGTCTCATCCATTTGGCATTAGCTTCTATTTGTGATGAAACGACGTGGGTTACCGCTAATTTACTGTTATAAAGTGCTTCGGAGTTTTCTTTTGGTTTGTTACTGCTAAGTGCCACTGAGATCTGCAGCCTGGTTCCTGCTGTCGGCGTTACTGTTTGTGGGATCTGTTATCCTGAGAAGGAATCCATTGCTAAGGCGTGTGAACGCTGCATTGACGAGTGAGTAGATCACATGTGGCTACCATTCACTGGCATCGATTGTTTTTCTTAACAAGAAACTGAATGGGTCTTTTCTGGCGTTTTTGCAGATGTAGAATGGACAGCGACGATCTAACGAAGTTGTGGTATATTTGGTAAGTTTCTTTAAAGATTCTTGCAGTCACTTACGGCTTTAATTTTGTAATCAACCCTCCAGATTAATGGCACCTTTTTTATTAAAAATTAACAAACTGACCGTTGCGTTATAACTTAATGTCCAGCAATCGGACACGTGTATTTGCGCATCTGTCGTAGATTTATTTCGAAGTTAATTTTTTTTTTCTTTAGGTTTATTTTAATAATAATGGGCACCCTGCTCATGTGCGGAATCATCGCCGGCTGTGTGAAGATGTGCTGCAGGTCCAGCAAGCCGCCGGTGCCCACATGCCCCGGGCAGCGTTTCGAGGTGGCGGTCATCGATGTGGAAAACCGAAGCGCCTTGAGCAGCATAAGCACCATGTCCTGTAAGCTTCGCTGCTTCTTTTGGCTACAGATTGTAAAGGGCACCGTACATTGGTGTTCTTCATCCGAGTGCTTTCATCGAGCTATACGGAAAATCCTCTTGCAAAACTATAGATTAACGTGTAAATATATTGTAACGAAATACTTTGATTTTTGATTTTAAGTAATATAGATTAATGCCTTCTTTGCGACTGACTTTTAACGAAACCAATCTCCACCCCCACCCCCAGCTTTCTCCCACCGTCTTCCTGGTGAACCTTCACCCCGAATCTTCACTGCAGGGCTGAGAAGCCCCCTTTCACCTCCGCCGTACAGTCTCTATGCCATGGAGAGCCCTCCGCAATACGACGAAGCGCTGAAAATGCCCGCTGACAAGACTGTCGTTGTGCCCAGGGCCCTGGAGGACCCGCACGTGGCCCCAGAGGTCTCTGGGGTGCAGGAGTCAGTGGACACAGTCGACAGACAGCAGCCCGCTCGGGACGACCCCCCGGAATCGGAATCTCAGAATGCTACGTCGTATGAAGAGGAGGAACCCCCGGAATATCACCTGCATGACCCCATGGCAGAGGAGAACTTCACTGAAATAAGCTTGACAGAGCCCTGATGCCCACGCCCAGAAAATGCTTTCAGCCAGGGCCATTTGCTGCAGTGCTCCTATCTGCCCTTCCAGTGGCTCAGCAGACTGGTTTTTAATCCTTCCATACCGCTGGATATCTTAAGTGAAGAAATTCAGAAGAAAGTAGCAGACAAATCAGGGTACGAAAGATGGGATCCTTTTCTGGGGTTTAACCCAGTGACCTTTCGGTCGGTTCAGTCCCTTCACCACATTCACTGCTTTCTGCCTGTGGTGCAGGATGGGTCAGTTACCCCTGAAGTCTGGCACTATCTGGAAGGGTATGAAGATTCTGAAATTCAGTGGGAACAAACTTTTTACTCCATGATTTGAAGAGAAGTTCAGACACCAGCCAGTGGCTGCATATTGTGAACGGCCACACTGCCCCTCATTAACCTTGAAGTGTTTTGCCAGCAACTGGTTGTTCTTGCTCAGCTGCAGCCGTGTTTGCCGTCGTTTACAGTTATGGTTGCCTGGAGTTCACATGACCGGAGTTGTTGCTTGGATAAAGGGTGAAAGCAGAGGACTGGCCTCATTGTCCTGGGTCTGTAACTTCCTCGTCTGATTGTAAGAAGCAATGAGAAATAAGCACTTTAACATTTACTGCTTTCTTCTCTTGCAAATCTGCTGTAATTGCAAGTTGGACAAAGCAACGGGACATTATTTAAGGACTCCGTTCTCTGAGTGCTGACATTTTCAGGGATTAAGCTAATGTGACAAAGGACTGCTGGCTGTTAACTTTTAAATCTTGGAAATACAAACTTGTTTCTTATTTAAAACTTGCTGCACATATCATTAAAGCATTATTTACTGAAACAGTGTAGCCAGGAGTTAATTTATGTTGATTAGCAGTTTTAAATTGTAATTTACACTTGTATGATGGATACTTTTATTTATTGACATATGTGATGTACATTTTGTACATTTTTAAATGCCTTTTTCCAGTGCTACAGTAGCACATTCATTCTGGGGGAGAACTAGACTACGGGGAAACATTTAAATGAAACGTTTGTTTTAAACGGTCGGTCTTTGAAAATGACAGGTAGACATTTCGTTTACTATGGGGAAGTGTAGGAGAATATACCAGCTTCATTTCATGTGGCTGTGCAGGACAGCTCTCTGCCCAGTGGAAAGGTCATAAGTATGCAAAGATGGGGATTTAAGATATTGATTTGCCCCTAATTACTAACAGATACCACTTACTGGCGTCATAGTGACCCTTCATAGGGCAGAAGTGGGCAGAATGGCCGTAGATACACCACTTTCATGATGGGCTATGAAACAAGGGGCAACATCTCAATGCGACTTGAGCACATCAGGAAAAAGTCTGGGGTGAGAATAATTGTTAGGTTGCCAAGGTAATCGTCCTATAATCCTGCGTCCTACCTGTAGGGTTAGGCTGCAAGTGGCCAGTGGGTCGGGTGATTCTTGTCGCAAGAGAAAGCGCCGTAAACCATGCCCAGTGTTTAAAGAGCATATGTTGTGGACAGCAATGTAGTGACATTATGTGATACAGAAAGGATGTTTATGCATTCAGGAAAAATGGCTTTGAGAAGAAAAAACTGGCTTTAGTCAGAAGTCAGCGCCGTGGCGGATTAATAATCAAACGGCCAAAGGCAGATGGGCTCCTCCGGCACACAGTGGGACGGCACCGGCCACCTCGTGATTCTCTGATCCTTTCGCTTCCTAACTGGTGGAACTGGAAGTTGTGAACTGGTGGAACTGGAAGTTGTGTTACCAAAAACGCCCTGTGGCTTCAATTTTATGTATACTCCTGTAATACACAGTATTACGACGTGCGTATTTTAGTGTAAAACCTTGGGTAAGTATGGAAGAGAGAGCAGTTTAACTCAGACTCGGGCTAACAGAGATAAAACGGTACTCCCAGTGAAAGGTGTTGTAATATTACTTGTATCCTTCCGTCTGTCTTCTAGACGCCCGTCCTGACAGGGTCTCCGCGTCTGTGGCACAGGACACAAGCAGGCGTATTCCCTGAACAGGAAGCCAGTCCGTCACTGGGCATGTGCACACTTAGTCTTGTGTCGTAAATCAAACTCTGGTCCAGTAACTGGTTGTCTGATCTTGAGGTGATTAGTATTTAACTGGTTTTGTTAGTAATTTTATGTTCCAGTGTCACACCTCTCAGATCTGGTTTTAACCCTTCCACCGGCAGTGTTAATTTGTAAACACAGTTGTCCTGATAAATATGTTAATGACTGATTAAAATGTCTCCATCGGAACCTATGGCATGTCAGTCTTCTGTTGCTCTCTGAAGGCTTACATTTTAATGACTGGCAATCAAATGACAATTGGAAAGTATATGATGCCACACAAGTTGTTTGCTAACTATTCCTCATGCCAGCCTTTCAGTGCAGTGACGTCCCAGCCAGGAGGTGTTTGTGTGTGGATCATAGCTGTACAGACACGTTACGTGCTTCTTAAAGCTGTGCTGCCGTACATATAGGGAGACCGTATTGTAGCGCAGGCACTCTGTGGTGAAATTAGCCGACGGCTAAAGGTGCTCCAGAAGAGCGCCCCACAGAGGGCATGGGCAGAATTGCTTGGCACTCTCCAGCTGCCTTGGCATAGGTCAGTACTACAATGGAGCTGGCGTTCCGGGCGTCTCTTGATTCTTACTAAACACAGGTTAATTTGTGCATCTTCTGGTTATATACTCACTGTTTTGCCATTTTGTCTAATTTTGTTTCCCATAGTAAAAACAAACAGCAGTTGCTGCAATACATACAACCCCCCACAAGGTGGTAGCATTTCCTTTCAAATAATATGACGGGCGAACCATTGTACATTTCGTTTTGGTTTTGTAAACCCGGAAGACCAAATCTTACACAGTAGCGATTGTCGTCTTATGTGCTCTATGCGTCAAAGGAACACACTGCATATTTTAAATTTTAAAATCTTTTTAAGGTTAAAAAAAAAATAATAAAAATAGACCGATGTGCTTGATTACAGGCATCAGTTTAAATCATTTCACATATCATTGCAGTGAGAACGTGGCCAGCGTGAGAGGTCATTTATCTCACAACAGAGCTCATCATCACAGGATTCAACTTCCCATAATGTACGGTGTCTATTTTAGGCATAACTTGGGCAAAGAGTAAAGATGCATAAGTGTGTGTGTGCGTGTGTGTGGGTGGGGTCACAGCTAGTTACAGCTGGTCAGTACACCCTGAAAACATGTTTTCTATGTTAAAAAGTTAGAGATGCTGGAGGGTATACAGTTAATACATTTATATTTATAGAAATTGTAACACAAAATGATTTGCCATAACTTTTTTCAGAAAAGGATGTTGTATATTAGAAAAAATATACATGTTATGTGGCGGTGGTGTGAACATGTATGTGAAGAGTGCTGGGTCCCTGTGTCAGGTTGGCACCCCTTCCTGGGGTGTTATGTGGTGGCATAACGGTTATGGAAATGCACTTGTAAATGAAAGGTGGCTGGTTTGAATCCCTGACCAGCAAGGTACTGTACCCAAGCACTGCTCCCTGGATACTGAATTAGCTGCCCCCTGCTATGTCACATATAAATTAAATGTGGATGACACATTGTGTTGTGGTGTGTCAACAATGACAATTAATCACTAAATTCTAATTCATGGAGGATGGAAAACTCCTGTGGCAATTTAGGACATCATTATATCACTTTAATATAAATGTACAATGTTTAATATAAATGTTTGGTTACAATATTTGGTTTCTCTAAATTGCCCATAGTGTGTGATTTTGTGTTGGTCTATTCCCTGGAGTCCTGTTTAGGGCGCCCCCTACCGGCTGCCTTGTGTTTCCTGCGAGAAGTTCCAGCCCCACTATGATCTAGCAGTGAACAATGAGCAGGGGCGGGCAGTCTCATCCGCAAAGGGCCGGTGTGTATGCAGGCTTTTGGGATAACCTTTAGGTCAGCTAGTGTGAGGACTCTAGCTAATTAATTACCCGGACACATAGCGCCCCCTTCTGGATAAGATTGCCTACCTCTGCGATAGAGGCTTTCACGGTATTCAGCATTTCATGCACAGGTTCAATACCACTAGCGGTGGTTTTTAAATCTGAGAGCGTCGATACTGACAGGAGCCATTTGCGTTGAGTTACTAATGCTGCTCTTTACTGATGCCGATTGCATAGTGCGTCCCCTACTGGCGGACTTTAGCATTTTGGAGCCGAACATCCAGGAAGCGACTTAAAACAAACAAGGAAATAGTGAAGCCAAAACAGAAAATGTAGTGATTGGGCTGTTGGTTCAACTGCCAAAAATCCACTTAAGGAAGTATGCAGCTCTATGCCAGGGTACCGCTATGATCTATCTGCCGATCAGTCATGCGGAGTTATAAGGTCAATGACGATATGGACTGTAACTGGCGGACAGTATGACGAAACGCCGCGGTGATTTCCATAATGCTGACAGTATGCTATGCTTAAAACGATGAAGTGAAATGTTCATCCTGAATTTTGTATTTAGTTGTTTTATTTATTTGTTGGCGCAGTAATATGGTTAATATAGGCCTATAGTATTTTGTTGGTTCAGTGTGTGTACTGTTACTCATGGGCGTAATTTATGGCGGAATGTGCTTTTGCTTTGAATCCAACCTAGGCTATGTGTGTAGAGTCTGCAAGTTAACTGCATTTCCTCTTGCAGTGCAAACACATTCCGTTAGGGGAAGAATTTGTCTCAGAATTGCTCATAGTTTGCACGAGTGACCTGCGAGGCGCCGGTGTTCTGTCGAGTTCAGCTACTTTGTCAAGTTAGGCTACCGTAGTGCTAATCGATAGCCCTAACTCTAACTCTTACCCTAACCCCCCCCCCAAAAAAAACCCTTAGAACCCTAACCCCTAGAACCTAACCCTAATTCCAAAACGGCGGTACTGCACATGCGCACAAAGGCCCGATAGCACGTCTCGATAGGTAACTCAACTCGTCAGAACACCTGCATTCCCTCCGTGGTATTTTATGCTGCCTGGGGTGGGTTCATGTGACCCCGTACTAGACACGTGGTTGTAAGATGAATGGATGCTGAATCATACTCTAGAATTTATACCTCTTTCTTTGTAAACCGAACAATACACTTAAATTTGTATTTACATTTGCTCTTGGTATCGGTGCTGTGTGCATACCTGAAGCAACCCCCTCCACAATATTTAATTGCATTTAAATTATTAGACCATTGCATTTAAATTAAAGAATGCCCCCATATGACTCTCTCCCTCTGCACTTTAACATGCATAAACATATAAGCATGTCCGTTTCCCGCAATATACTCGCCTCCGCTCTGCCAAAAGGACTCGCTCCTAAAAGTATTCGGCGTCCGAAAGGAAGAGTGTCTGAAGCGGAGCCTGAGAGAGGAGCCGCCGGCCGACAGCAGGTGTCAGTGACGAGGCGCCATGCCCTGTCCGCTCTGCTCTTCCACAAACATGCTGCCAGCATTTGCTGGAGATCGAAACAGATTACAGCAAATCTGATTATTATATCCAACCTCGGTTATAAAAAGGCAAGGTCATTATGAGCTTTGGCGTAACGTAACGTCAGTCTTTTCGTAAAATGTATGAAATCGTATTACTCGACGTTCGTATTGTCGTTTTCTAATCTGACTATCTAAGCATCCGACATGGGTATTAATGTCATGATACTGCTATTTACTTAAGCTTTCTGATCATTTATTCTAGCATATACATTATTTAAAACATGTACAGGCCTACTGCTATAACATTCAAACAAATGGTCTCCGATTACATAATTAAACGTCTTAGTGATTTTAATGTTTTTAGATGCCCTGAAGTGGTGTGCAGTTAATTTATTAAATCCG